ATTTTTCACACCTCAGCTGACCCTACCTTATCTTGACTTATCTGTTGACCCTACCTTACAGCTGACTTACCTCCTGACCCTACCTTACAGCTGACTTATCTATTGACCCTACCTTACAGCTGACTTATCTATTGACCCTACCTTACAGCTGACTTATCTATTGACCCTACCTTACAGCTGACTTATCTCCGTAAAAATATTGCTTGCCTTTGCGGTGCGAACCACTAGCGGATTGAGCGTAGTGGTATATTACTGAATATATATTTATCTAATATTGTGTTTTGTTTTAATAATTTTAATATGTAGTTGTTAAATTAATATTAAACATTTATTATTAGCATAAGGTTGATAAAACGCCACATTTTTGAGCTGGGATGAGAACATACGGCATCCGTCAGTCGGGACGTGACGATGGCAAGATCTTACCAGAAGCTTTCGTGGTGCCAGAGTCTGGACTATCGCAAGGGCGGGCCAGCCCACAGGGTGGCGCCGTCGCGCAGGACAGTGGCCACGCCTGCCTTCATCACGCGTCTAACGGCAGCGTACGTACCGTCGACTGCCGCTCTCATGGTTGAGTGGTTCCGGCCATTGTCCCTGGCCATTCTATATCTTCCTGTGATCGAGTGGTTCCTGCCGGTTCCTTGCCGATTCTATGATATTCGTGGTGTTGAGTCGTTCCCTGCTCGTGTTCCCTCGCCATTCATGATCTTCGTGTGTTTGAGTGGTTCCCTGCCAGTGTCCCTGCATTCTTATGATCTTCGATGTGTCGGAGTGGTCTGCTCGTGCTTCCTGCCATTCTATGATCTTTCGTGTTGTTGCGTGGTTCCTGCCGGTGTTCCTTGCCATTCTATGATCTGTCAACGTGTTCGAGGTGTTTCCTGCCGTGTTCCTTGCCATTCTGATGATCTTCATGCTGTTGAGTGCGGTTCCCTCCCGTGTCCGCTGCATTCCTATGATCTGTCGTGTGTGTGAGTTGGTTCCCTGAACCGTGTTCTCTGGCATTCTAGATTCTTTGTTGTCGAGTGTCCTGCCGCGTGCTCCCTGCCATTCTATGATGCTCTGAGTGTTGAGTAGGATTCCGCTGCCGTGTTCCTGCCTTGCCATTTCTATGATCTTCGTGTGTTGAGTGGTTCCTGCCCGTGTTCCTGCCCATTTTAGATCTCTTTGTTGTCGATGCGTTCCCTGCCCGTGTCCCTGCCATTCTGATGATCTTTGTGTGTCGAGTGGTTTCCTGCTCATGTCCCTGCCTATCTATTGATCTTCGTGTGTCTAGTGGTTTCCTGCCCGTGTTTCCCTGCCATTCTTATGATCTTCGTGTGTTCCTAGTGCGTTCCTTGCCCATGTTCCCTGCATTCTATAATCTTCGCTGTGTCGAGTCGCGTTCACTGCTCGTGTTCCTGCCATTCTATGAACTTCCGTGTGTCGAGTTTGTTCCATGCCCATGTTCCTCGCCATTCTATGATTGCTGTAGGTGCACGTGCAAACGAATGAACAGTTGGGCCGGGAATGGACTCGTTAATTGTTTTACTGTTTCCATGACGTATCACGGCCGAGCAGGCGCCGTGATGGGAATGTTAGTATGGAAATGCACATCGACCATTTTTGGCTGGAATGGGAATTCTCCGTCAGAATAGACATATGAACTTATATGGATACGAATTTGTAAATTAATTGTTGTATATCACAAGCGCAGTGTACAACTGGGATAACTTATAACCAACCCGCTCATAATTTTAAAATCTTTATAAAAGTTGTGCAGGCTTATATCCTTTGGCCAGACATAACAACACATTAACTTGGCCAGCATGGTATATTGCGTATATAGGTAATAAATCGGAATAATATAAAAATAATAGGCCGACTTCAACACATGTTATATATAGATTGTATAACAAATATATGGGAATGTATGTATTATAAAATTAAGCGGATAATAGGTTTTGAGATTTATTAAGATAAGATAGAAGAATAAAGATGAATTATAAGGAAACAGGAATATGTATGACATAAATGGAACAATACATGAGAACAATAACGGTTGCTAATTCGGACGTCGGACTCATGCCGCGAATCATGCTTGTCCTCCTGTCATGCTTGCATGTCACTGAAGTACGACGCACGTACTTCATCGAGCTACTTTGCGCTCGACCTCATCATGGATGCCGGCGAGTGCGTCCGGCGTGATGGCCGTCTGCTCGAGGACGGGACTCCTGCACCCGCTTCCGCTGCAAGAACACGATCCTCGCCACCGGCGGAGGGTGCAGGGCGTCGCGGCGAGCGAGGGGGCCTCAGAGGGTGGCCGGGGGAGAAGGTGAGGGGCGGCGCGGGTGGCGGCGAAGGTGAGGGACGTGTCGCGCGAAAGCGAGGGGGTGGGCCGGGGAGGGTGAGGGGGCGGCCGAACGAGTGCGTGCAAGGTGAGGGCGGCCGAGGGATGTTGCGAGGCGAGGGGGGTGCGCGCGAGAGGAGGGGGCGGCTGAGGGTGGGCGGGAGAGGGTGAGGGGCGCGGCACGGGTGCGTGCAGGGTTGAGGGGTGCGCGCGAGCGAGGGGCGCTCAGGGTGGGCGGGGGAAGGGTAGGGGCGGCGTGGGTGCGTGCAAGGTGAGGGGTGCGCCGGGATTCGAGCGAGGCGGGGCGGAGGGTGTGCGGGAGGGAGGGGGAGGGGGGGCGCCGGGGTACAATGGCAAGGGTGAGGGGACGTGCGAGGTGCGGGGGCGAGGCGGGTCGGGTGGGCGGGTGGGTGGGGTGGCCGGGAGAGAGGGTGAGGGGGCGCCTAGGGATGTGTGCGAGGTGAGGGGATGCGCGAAGAGGGCGACGGGGCTGGGGGTGGCCGGCGGGAGAGCCCGTTGTATTTTTTCACTGGTCAATGTTTTTGTGATATCTATAATATTATTCAGTGTTCGAAATAAGCGAAGACAAATTGGCTTGTCCGATGACAAGGCTACAAGGATATTTAATCTAG